AGAAGACAGCACGAACCCTGGCAGACACTAAGCTAGAGATGGAGATCATCAGTCAGTGTGGATCTGGAGGAATTGAAGATTACAGGCCCTCGTGAACCAACATGGCCAAGTTGAAACTGGAGGGACAACTCGACGTGGTCGAGTACAGTCGAGTCACTGAGCCGGAATCGGTCCACATGGGAGATCCAGCAGGGGGTTATGTGGAGATGTTGAAAGCGAGAAACTCCGCGAGAGGGCACCTGATGACTTGGAGCGAGAAGCGAGCCATGCAGGAATATCTGAAAGAGCTTACGGAGAATTCAAACTTAAATCGAAAAGAATACGGCACGGTAATGTCCTCTGAAGCGAACGAAATCGGATTAGAAAAGCTACTAGAAATTTCTTGGAGGGCGGCCCTCCAGAGATACTTCGACGAGACGATGCATGCACCTGCGACGGTGGCAGCGTACCTGGCTCATCCGTGCACGAGAACTGACCTGCAAGTACGGTTGGCTTGGTGCTTGATGGGCATCAAGAAGGCGGAATATGAGGCCAGTAATGATTCGAAATCACGGGAACAGGAGCTGGAGTTGATGGGAGCTCTGCGAGCGTTGATTTCAAAAGACGATTCTGCGATAGCATGGGCTAAGCGTAAGGATGCCCTTTGCTTTGTCAGGTTCGTGGTGGATCGTATCCCCACTCCTGTTTTGGGAGAATGCATAAAGATCATTCGGCAAAAGGGAGTAGATTGCGAAAGAAACCTCCTTAGGGCACTCCTGGAACTGTATCAGGATATGCCGTTGATTGTACCAAATAGGGAGTCGAATGACATGGAAAGCTATCGCAAGTTGGAAGAAGTGAGAAGATATTCCAACAAAGAATTGAAAGTGAGCCGGGAGTTGATTGAAGCAGTCAGGGGACAAAAAGACTTTGCAACACTAGGGAAACTGAAATCGTTCCAATACGTGTCTGGCATACCGGGGATGGCGTATAATCCCTTCGTGAATGAAGAAGCCAGGGAAGCGTACTTCGACTATGAGCAAGTCATAGTGCTCAATTTCTGGGTCGAACGGATTAAAGAAACTGGAATGCTGATGGTGGAACAACCCAAGCTGGGAATTATCTTAGAAGAGCGAGTGGTCGAACCCTCGGTTCCCGAGCTGAAGGGGCAAGTGAGTTTTGATTGTGGTTCTTGGGACGGTCCCTTGAAAACCAGCCTAGTAACCATGTGGGAACTCATGAAGCCTTCTTGGTGTCCTCATCCTAACGCCGGTTTAATCTGGGACATGACGGCGGATATCACGTTAGACCTGGACAATGACGCGAGTCTACATGATCTGGCCATGATACACCATCTGCTGGCCATGAGGTTGACGAAGCGGAAGAGCAACCCATCCACGGAGCTAGCCGAGGAAAGCCCATCGAGCAATTGGTTGAAGCAAGGCACATGTTTGGCTCAACATAGTGGGATGGAAGGACAAGTTTGCAACTTAGGACACTGCCTGATTACGCTGAGTGAGCAGCATCGACAACTGGCACGATTGTACGGAAGATTGAGCATGTCGGATAAGAGTGGCATGGAGTTGGTCGCGGACTGTCATGGGGTGACGGATGTAAACTTGACCACAGCCTTGGGATTTTGTAGCATGACGAGTTCGATAGAATCGCTTGAGTGCCTGGAGCGTGCCCATGAGCTAGTGACGTCCCTCAGCGTGGAAGTATTCCCTGGAGCATTGCAGACAGAGCAGAAGATCGGAGGCTGGCGAGAAGCTCTGGAAAACGAAATGAATCTGAAGGATAGTGAAGCCTATCATAAACCTACTGGTTCAAAATATCTGGTGGGTTCAAGCTCCGTGCCATATTGCAATAGTAGGTAACCTACGCCAATGGTGGTGATGGATCCGAGGACGCAGCAGGTGTTGATTGGCCAACTTTTCTCTGTGCCAAAGTGAGTGAGGTTGGCCCGAATGTCGGAGAGGTCATATGATTTGTTGGCGAAGATCTTCCGGGCAGTCCCGAAGAGATCTGAAGACGAGTTGCAAGACGTAGTGGGTGAAGAGTTCCTGAGATTGAACGAAGGTAATGTGAGCGAGTTCCAAAAGCAGAAAGCGAGTGGAGCGTCACCCACTGAATTCCCCACCATAGAAGAGAAAGACGATTTACACAGAATTATGATGGAGGTGGAACCGTTGCTGGGAGCTTCAGGGTATCGGACCCGAAGGAACATAGTGAGAACCCATGGGGAGTATCCTTGCCACTGCTTGGCGCAGACGTTGTGGTACCCCAAACGCGGGAATCTGATGCTAGTATGGGACGTGGAGGAGTTGTACTTTACGGGGTTGCCCGATCAGAATCAACAGGTGTCAATCGTGGTGGTTAGTGCCATGCTGGCAGTGAGATGGTTGGAGGCTAACGCGGACACGAGTGAACAGGAGACGGCCGTGCCGACTCCTGAGCAGCTGAGCAACGTGAAGATGAGCCGTTAATTGGATCTTTTCAGAACCACCTGCAAGTTTCTGAGAATACCCAAAGCCATTGAAAGAATATGGTCAAGGCAAAGGTTGATGCCTTGGTTCCGTGCAGTGATGACGTCATGGATGTATGAATGCGCGAAGCGTCACATGTCGAGGAACACGGAAGCATATCAATCTTTCCAGCTAGATATAGGACCGGGAGCCTATAAGAGAGCATTCCTAACGCACAGAAACGCGGTCACCACGGCGGTGAAGCGAGTAGCTGGAGCGCCTTGTGTAACTGAAGATGAGAAGAAAGAGGTCTTAAGAGCTGACCTAGAAAGAAAGGTGAGCCTATGTCTTCACAACATCTTTTGCAGGAACCGGGAGCAAAAGGTGAATGTGGACCTGCTACCTTGTTGCAAACCGAGGCTGTTGGAACAGGAGAGTTGGGGCACGGCCCGCAACTCCATGGACATACTGGTGAAAGTCCTAGAAGACAGCGAAGCTGAGGATCAGGATGGAGAAGCAATGGAATGAAGATGATGGAACGAAGAGGACAAGTGAAGACGTGAGCAAGAAAAGAAGAGAAGGAGAAAAAACTTGATTGTCTTTGTGTGTTAAAACTTGAACCAATCAACCAAGTTTGATTATTGAACTTGTTAAACTTTTTAATTTGATCTAGTTTGGTCAGACCAGACTTTGAAAATTGTTACAATTGTTAAAATTGTTGAAAGAAAATTTTAGTTATACTTTTTATGTATATATATAGCACATAGGTGAGTATATTTACCTATTTAAACACGACTGAAGTTTTTAACCTGTGTAAGACACCATTTCACTGTGTGGCGGCATGGTAAGTTTGGGTAAACTCGCTCGAGAAGGGTGAGTAACTCAATAACTTTCCTAGCCACATGGTTTCTTAGTTTTAATATTGAAAGGACTGCATAAATAACTGATTATACTTGGTGAGTGACGTTAAGTTAATTTTAACGGGTGCGTGGCCGTGCCACGTCCCAACTTTTTAATCACAAAGAGCGAAAAGAAGTTTTATGGCAAGTGAAGTAAGTAGTCAAAAAAGAAATTTTATCTAGGACACTCCTCATGGAAATGTTGAAAGGCAGTGAGATGTAGTACGATGCCATTTGTGAACACGTAGTGAGTTGAATTGGAGTAGATAAATTTCATTTTCTTATGCGATTTGTAAGATTGATTACAGAGAACTGGAACACTACTTGACGATAACCCGGTGTTATGCGATCAATAGGGACATTGATGGTGACTTGTTCGGGGAGTTTGTGCCATTCTGCCAAATTGGCACAGCGCAATCTTCCGGCGACACGAAAGAAAAAGAATAAAGGCCTTAGTAAAGAAAATTTACTGCGAAGGAGGGTCTAGATATTCCAAAAATTTGAATTTTTAAAATTTCGATTGACGGGCCAATATTTCTGAGAAATACAAAAAGACGGCCATTTTGACTGAAAAGGACGAAAAAACAGAACAACAACAAATATAGTGAGAAACAGTCGTGCGGGACACGAAGAAAACGGAGTCTCTTATCGTGGCAATAACACACGATAAGAACCTTAGCAGTGGATATTAGTGGAGAAGGAAGCTTCAGTGGGGAAGGAATATTCCACGGAACCCTCCCGTGCCACAAATTCGGAGAGATAACAGCGTTATCTCAGGAAGATTACGGGAGCGGAGGCTTGGTCCCCCAGAGACTGTTGTATGTGAAGGGACTATATAGAACTGACTTTGTAGCTACTTGGATGTCGTAGAACTTTGAATTAACACCGGTATAATTTGATATTTTAGAATATGAGTAGCTAGAAAGAGGAAAGGGTCAATCCATCTCCAATGGATTTAATATAGAACTGTCACACAAAAACATATTAGAACAGGTTGTTCGAGCCGTGTTTTTGATAGCAATCACGTAGTCTGAGGATCCCAGAATCAGCTATGTGGTTGTATTCGCATGTAAACGAAAGCTGATCAAAAGTCGTTTGACTGATGGCCTAAAAATAGTAACTTTTTACTTAGCCCTAAACAGACCAGAAAATCAACTGGCAAGGTCGAGACGGTGAAAAACGAGTAGGATTAAGGTAACTGACGCCTGCCAGTCGTTAATAGGTACTTTTTTTACGCTCCGTCGCTGTGTAGTATTTGGGCGAATGTTACAATCCGAATACTTGAATTGCGCTCTTAAATGTTTACTTTTTTCGAACAATTGTTTCTTTGAATTTATTTTATTTAATCTCAAATTTAATCCATAAAAATAGCAAGTGATTTTTTTCAACTCTTAAATGTTTACTTTTTTCGAACAATTGTTTCTTTGAAATTATTTTATTTAATCTCAAATTTAACCCATAAAAATTGCAAGTGATTTTTTTCTAACTATGTTTCACACAAAATTTTTCTAAAAAAAGGATTTTTCTAAATATTGATCTGTTTAAGAATTGACCTGCAATCCTTTCGGCACAAAGTTATGTCGGCTTGTTGTCTAGGCTCGAGAAGACTTTAGAAGCTAGAAAAATATAAATTTCTGATTGTTTTGATGTCTTTCAGCTGAAGTATAGTAATCATCTGGATGTACCAAAAATTGACCTCTCCAAATTCGCGAAGGGAGTGGACTCCATCAAAACCGACATGAAGCAGAAACTGGCGACGACGTTGAATAAAGCGTCCGACAAGGCACACTTTCTCCCTTTGCCCTCTCTAACCAACCCCCTCGGCGCCTCTCCCCTTTCACCCAATTTGAGTTCAGTTTTTTGACCGCATGAGGATTGTTCTGGACCAATTATGGGTACCCTCCACCCTCAAATTGATTAGAGGAGAGAAAATTTTCTGGGCTGTTTTAATATTCGTCTCCCTCTATTTGTTTGAACAAAAATATTTCCGTGGTTTAATTGGCTGAAAGTTTTGTGAAATAATAGAAATATAACGTGTTATTTTACCGATTTGTTATTTTTCGTAGGGATATTTTTGAAACCATTTTTTGCTGGTACTAAACTTCGAGGTTTTTCAATAGCTGACACAGATAATCACTGCAACCTAGCTGCTCAAACTAACTTTTAGACTGATAAACTTTCAAACTTTTGAACAACTATAAATTTTTCAACTGAAATGGAGCTTTGATAATGAAACGCTTCCGTGATATTTTGTAATATTTTTGCGAGAGGAGCATGGAGCTTATCAGTTTCAACGTATACTGAAGCATAAGGGGGATGAAGATGGAGGGGGCGGGGGTAAGAATAGTTTTATTGCGAGTAGATGTACAAAGTGGACTCGCTGATGCATTCGGCCAGTGACTGTGGACCTTCTTCGGAACTTGTTCACATCGACGAACTGTCTTTCTCTCCTGACAGCATCTCGGTGCCTGGAAATCTGACTGTGAATGCCAAGGTCACCTTGGACAAAGACCTACAGGCTCCAATTTCGGGTAAATTTTTGACGTCTTTTTTGACATTTTTTGACATATATATGTTTTTATCTGCCTGTCGAAAAACTAGGCTATAGGTGTGCTGCTAATGTTTTATTTGTCTCCAGACATGTTTTTTGACACAGAAATTACTTTAACTATGTCGACAATTTTTAAACCTGAGCTCAAAAATTACGAAAGAAGCACGTGGCTGTGCAAGTAGAACAACCACGAAAATTAATGAAAAAAAAAACGTTTTCCACCATTTTTGGCAGTAAACTTTCTGTAAACTCTGTGCCGTGTTTTGTTAGCCAAAAGAAGGTGAAGCTAATTGTTCAGACTTTCGTAACCAAAGTAACGGAATAATTGCGCTCGGGGTGGTAATTTTGAATTCTTAACTATTCATTTTAGTCGAAATATTTTTATCTAATTCAAAAGATATTGTTGTCCTAAGCTTAAATTTATAAAAAAATATTTCCCCGGTGATCAATTTGCGCAAAGTTATGGGGGTCTAAAGATTGCCATACTGGCTAATTTGGAACAATTAACGCGCGATATTCTGGCCTTTTTTATAACTTATAAAAACAGGAAACAGAATCGGTTTAATTCAAGAGAATCAATAAACGGCGAATTTTAGTAATTTTTTTATTGCACGGAATTAGCAACAACATTACACGTATCAAGTTAAAAAGTGGGCTTGTTCATGCCCTGATTTGTGTGATTTATGTGTTTTTTCACAATGAGTTCATACTTAATTCACGCAGTTTAATTAACAGAAACTCAATTGCAAACAAATTTTGAACCGATTAAAATATTAGCATTTTATGTTCTGTCAGGTTCGGCTCAAATAGGATTCTCAAATGAAACGACTTAGGTGAGAATCGAACCCACGCCGAACTCCCCGGAACGCACTATGTATACGCTGAGCTATATAGCTGATATTGATAAGCAACTATACTGGCTTTATACTATACTTTCATACTTTAATGCTATGTAGCATTAACATCCTTCACGCCCGAAGGAGCGAGAACCGGAACGAGCTTAACGAGCGGACGAGTGTAGTTTCCGGAAACGGTCCTTAGGTTTGCGGAACGGGCGGTGTTGTCTTTGCCGTAGTTTAACGACGTTATGCGTGCTAGTGGGTAGTGGCCCCTAGGGCTAGTGGATTCAACTAACCACACCATATCTCCCGCTTTCAAAGAGTATTCGGGAGGAGCATGCCACTTAACTCTTTTATTGAGTGTAGGGACGTACTCACTTAACCATCGCTGCCAAATTGCGTTTGCGTACGACTGCGCACGGGCATAGCGCTTAGAGTGAGAACAGTTTTCACTCGACCTTAGAGACGGAAACGTTAGATTGTGCTGACCTAAGAGGAAATGCTTCGGCGTCAAAGCCTCAAGACTATCGGGGTCGTCAGAAACGGGAGTGAGTGGACGGGCGTTTAGTGAACCTTCAACTAGGCACATGGTTGTGTTCAAAATCTCGTCAATCAACTTTCTTAACCCTAAGATTGCATAAAACACACGCTTAAAACTGCGCACCATTCGCTCCCATGCTCCACCTTGATTTGGTGCACTTGGCGGATTATACTTCCACTTAATGCCTTTGTGTACGAGCGACAGTGGAGCTTCTGCGTTCCAATTTTTGATGCACAGAAGAAGCTCTTTTTCGGCTCCTACAAAGTTTGTTCCGTTGTCCGACCAAATTATTGAGGGTGTTCCTCGCCTAGAAATAAAGCGCTCGATAGCCATCACACATGAACTTGTGTCCATGGATGGAACCAACTCAATGTGAATTGCGCGAGTCGTTAAGCAAGTAAATAGAAAACCCCAGCGTTTCTCGGAAGATCGACGAATGGTTACATGAAATGGTCCAAAATAATCGACGCCGCAGTTCGAGAACGGTGGCTGGCGGTAACCTAGACGCTCCGCGGGAAGGTCAGACATCATTGGAGTAACGGTTTTCGCTTTTCGCTTTCTACAGCACACGCAATGTGTTTCAATAGCTCTTAGTGCAGATCTTAAGCGTAGTACAACAAATTGCTGATGAATGACGGAACGAAGGTAGTCGACTGACTGATGTTCATGCTTAATGTGACAAAAACGGAGAAACAATCGGATTAGGCGATGGCGGCTATCCAAAATTATTGGATGGCGAGTTTCGAATGCGGTTGCAGAGAGACGTTGGATACGGCCGGTAGATCTAATTAAACCGTTCGGCCCGATAAAAGGCGAATACGATGATATACGGCTCGACGTTTTCACATATTTTCCAGCTGCTAATTGTTTACTTTCAGCTGGGAATGACTCTAACTGCGAAAGTTGCAAAAGTTTTTCCTCTGAAATAACAAGTTCTGCTGGATCAATTATGGCCTTATCTGGGGATCTGAAATGTCTATGCTTAGGTGAGAGTCTCAACATATATGCGACCAGTCGCTTTATCTTGGAGTACGAGCTATACTCTTCCCAAGGGAAGGCAAAGTCAGTCGAAACTGCAGTGCACGGAAAATTGGAAGAGACCTCTAAACCCTCGTTTAGATTGTAGACCGGACCATCCAGGCGAATTTTGTCAGTAACTTCCCTATTTGGATTGAAAGGCCAATCAGAAGTTTTCAAAAAGGAAGGGCCGTTTACCCAACTGCTTTGCTTGAGGGAGTCAGCAGTAATACCTCTAGTTCCGGTGTCAGCGGGGTTGTCTCCACTCAAAACATGGAACCATTGGTCAATTGATGTTGACTCCAGAATCTCGGCTACTCGATTGGCTACAAACACGGGCTGTTTGCTTGTCGAGTTCAACCACTAAAGGACTGTTGTGCTGTCAGTCCACATGAACACTTTGGAAATACTCAGTGTCAGAGCTTTCTCGATATCATCCTTCAGGCGACTGGCAAGAAGCGCAGCCTGAAGTTCCAACTTCGGAATTGAAAGCATCTTCATCGGGGCTACTCTTGCTTTACCGAAAACAAACGCTAGTTGACATTTGGAACAGGCGTTTTTCTGAGCTCGAAGGAATGCTAGAGAACAGAAAACGTCCAATGAGCTATCACCGAACATGTGCAGCTCAACCTCATCTACTGAGAAGTCAAAATAGCAACTAGGTATTTTGAGCTACCCTAAAACTGGCAAGCCAGAGTGCCATTCAGTGAATCTGCGGCACAACTCAATTGGCAGTGGGTCGTCCCACTGTTGGCCACTCAATCTCCAGATATCTTTCAGTAACAAACGTGCGCGTACGGTATACGGGGCAACAAGACCTATGGGGTCGAACATGGAGGAAACAAAACTAAGGACCGATCGCTGCCTAACAGAGTCTTTGAGTTCGCGGTTGACTCCTCTGCTCACAACCAACGTATCGGTGACGTGGTCCCATTTGAGACCGAGAACATGCGATGCGGTTTCCGGATTAATTGCAGCGGTAAAAATTTCCTTATTGTTGTTAGCGCTGGTCTTAGGGGGATTTAGTTTCGAAGATAAATTGGGAACGTTGCTAATAAATTTTGTAAGATTAAACCCACCCAACTTAAGCAGTTCAACTAAACTGCGACTTAACCTTAAAGCAGTTTCTGGGTTTTTCACAGACCCAAGGTAGTCATCCATGTAAAAGTTGTTAAGCACGGCGTAAGCGGCATCGGGGTAACGATCTTGGTTATCGACGGCTGTTCGGCGAAGAGCATAGTTAGCACATGTCGGAGAATCTTTCGCTCCAAATATATGCCTTGTATATTGAAATACACTCACATCTGATGTGGGGTCCTCCCGCCACAAAAAACGCAAGGAACGTTGATCACTTTCTAGTAAGCCGACCTGCATAAACATGCCTTCGATATCTGCGGAAATTGCGTATTTGTGCTCTCGGAAGCGCATTAAAACGAATAAAAGGTTCTGAAGCAGATCGGGGCCGACGAGAAGGGAGTTATTCAGTGAACTGCCGTGAAACCTAGAAGCACCGTTTAAAACGCGCCGAACTTTGCCGGGTTTGTTCGGATTTAAAACTGGGTGGTGCGGTACGTACCATTCTCGGTCTGAACGGTTTTTTGAGTCTTGAGGGCTAACCGGGACCACGTAACCCTTCTCGACATCACTTCGGATATCTGATGCGTATTGAGTTTTCAGGTTTAAATCTTTCTCTAGACGCTTTTCAAGAGACTTAAACTGGACCAACGAAGCGTAAAAGTTATCGGGAAGATGAATGTTGTCATCAGCCCAGAGCATTCCGACAATATAACGACTGCCATCATGAATCGTGGTTGAGTCAAGAATTTTTTGTGCACGTTTATCAGCTGAGGAACGGGGATCAGCTTGTTTAAACGTGCCATACGACTCTAGCTCGTACCATTTCTTCTTTTGGTCAGCAAGTGCTACGTCCTCAACATTGCACTTGAAAGTGGTGGCTCGAACACCAATTGGTGATGGAAGTGGGCCACTGAGAACCCAGCCAATGGGCATACGGACAGCGACAGGAGTGTTTTGATTTCGTCCTTGGAAGTATTCGAGAGGCTTGATTGCATGAAAGACACCCTGCCCTAATATCATCTCAACGTCGGAATAGTTGTAGACAATAGGTTTAATTGGCTGCAGATGTGGAAACCTGTCTTGAAGAATGGTAACTTTAATGATTTCGGAACCAACGCTCAAACTGTCTTTCACAAACGGCGTAACCCTAAACGGGTATTCATGGTAGTCGAATTTGGCAAAAATATTCACTTCGACTTGTTGCGTGGGAACGGATTCCGTCGAATTGAAGACATTTACCAGAATATCCAGCTGTTGGCCAGTTAAATTTAAACGCTGTGCTAGGCCCGCCGAGACCCATGAGTGGGTACAACAGGAATCGCACATTACAAGAGCAGTGGTCACATCTGTGTGTGAACTTATTTCCAATTGAAGCACATGAAGGAGTCCCGTAAGTTTCTTGTAAGACGACGAACCGGCTACGTTTGATGACGAAGTTTGCGGCTTATTCCGTTTCGGCGGGGCGGTACTGTTTGAATTCGAATGGCTTGCATTTTTGCTATTGTT